ACTCAAAGATGCTAGATTTAAGCTACAGTTCTCTAGTTCCGGAAGCTAAATGAAAAGGGTACTATTGAGTCTCTTGTGTCTTCTGTTCAAGTCAAATAACTTACCCTTTGCAGACAGATCAACAGTCTGGGTGGACCCACATACATCAGGCCGGTTTGCCAATAACCGCTCCTTCCGCTACTCGAACGTCTTTGCAGCGAACTGCGGCTCCTCGTTCACCTCGATCTTGTACTTCAACACGAGCATGTGAGGATTGCGATGCCCTCGGTTTCGAAGAAGCGTCGACCGATGCACGCGAGGGCCCCTGCGCAGGTAATTTGAGCAAGTGCAGGAGAAAGGAGAGGAGAACAGAGGAACGAGATGAGCGTACCCGCACTAACGAGCAGAGAGGTGTCGCACGGCCAATCTTTCTCGAGGAACCTCGCGGGCTTGAATGCCTCCGGGTCGTACCAGTATCTCGCTGAATAAACGTCACCACAGCCCAATTTACATCAGCAGTGGGTCATGAAAAGGGGCGAGGGGTGTGTACACATACTCCGAGTCATCCCAGCCGTGCGCTATTGCTGGCTGGGTACCGGCGCCCTGTATTGCATACTGTAGGCTGGGCGCATAGTGACCGGCTGACAGGTTATGATTGCAAAACTCTCAAATACCCATCCAAGCGGATATTTGCAGCACCGATTGTTGATGAAGCACTCACTTGAGCCACGGTAACAAAAAGGAAAAAACATGTTAATGCAAACTTAGGTGACCTACAGTGCCATTTGAACTGTCGACCTCGTGGCTGAGGCGGAAAGGGATCATAGTGCGTCAAGACCACTATACCAATATCGCAACACATTTGCAGGGCTTTGGTAGCATATATCGAAAGAAATGACAGCGTGTAACTGAGGAAATATCGTTGCCGAAGAGTCTGAAGAGTCCAACTTATCCATGCACGAATTATTGCAAGCAATGGAAGCGATGAAATGCCGATAATGTCCTCCCTGCGGGCATTATCGTCTCGATTACCCTTTCGCAAAAAGGATTACAGTAAGGTGACCGGGGTTGCTTTCTTTGCCGGGTGCCTGGACCATACCCCAAGCCCGGCTGGACCTGATCATTCCGAGCTGAACGCTCTCTGTTGCCATAAGCACAGACAGATCGCCCGCTTATTATCTCACGCCGCTGTGGCTGTGATTCCCACGTTTATTGCCAAATATAGCAGCCATTATAGTTAGCGCCGTCGTCCACATCATGAAACGTCCGAATCATCGATCCAAGAAGCTATACGCATGGGTATATAGGGGTATATCTATTCAGCACTTCCCTTGAGCGCCTTGTTCCCACCACATCCTCCGGTCCCTCTACGACGCGCCCGCCATGAGCACCCCAGCCGGTAACGCGACAGCAGCTTTGCCGCCGCCGTTGACGACGGAAGAACTCGACCAGACGTTCGGAGTGCTCTTCATTGGTTTCGTGGTCTCCACGGTTTTGTATGGCTTGACATTTTTCCGTAAGAGAATGGTCTTCAGCCTGCTAAAGTCGAATCTGAATGTTCACCGCGATATAGAAACATACATCTATTTCTCTCGTTATCCCAAAGATAATGTCTGGACGAAGTCGACTGTAAGTTTCTCGGCTTTGTGACGCGGCTCGAACGCAACCAATGCCTGTCTGTAACAGGTCGGCTTGCTGTCGTGAGTTCCGTTCACACCACGCATAACCTTTGACCCTATGTTCCGCCTTCAGTCTCTTGGATACAGCGACGTCCGCTTTGAGTGAGTCCTACACGGTACGTTTGGTGCGCATACACTGATCTCCCTGGCACTTCAGTGTCTCAGGCCCTCTACTACTATCTTATTACAATGTTTGCATCACCGCTCGGTTTATTGGACGCGACTTCGTGAGTTGCCCTGCTCTCAACCGAGGTCCACATCTCACAGATGCTTCGGCGCACAGGACATTCTGCGTAAGCTATGAAATTCACGAAGCTACCTCCCGCCCGACTGACGCTTTGATAGGCTGAAAACGGCTTGGCGATCCTCGTCGCTTTCCTCGTTCAAATGTAGGTGTCTTTGCAGACCCGCGATGCAGGGCCTAATATAGACTCCTCTATCCAGTTTCTTTGCTATCAGGGTATGGACAGGTACGCTAGCCTAGCGTGTTTTCGTCGTCAGAGCCTGATCCATTTCAGTGAGCAACAAGAACTGGGCGCTAGCGGGTGCCATCGTATGTGCCAATGCCCTCAGTTTGGGTTGTGTCGCTAATATATACCCGCAGGCTTTCTTCGCAGTGGCAGCGTTCGGTAAGCTGGTACTACCATCAACCTGAAGGCGGTCGTGTCTCATTGCAATTTGTCCGCCCCCAGCTTTCGGAATCAGTACGTTCCCCTGCATACTACAAATGTTCAGACCTGTCTGATCCGCTATCTTTGTAGCTATGACCGTGCAAATGTCAGCGTTGCGCACAGGCTTCCGTCCTCCGTCACACTAACACCTACCTCTGCCCCGCAGTTTCAACCAGAAGCGCCTCTCCGAGCTCGCAACCACGCACATGAAGGTCGTCGCAGCGCTCTCCCAAGGCCTCGCGACGCTCGCCGACATCATGATCACGGGCGCCCTGATGTGGTACCTGTCCCCCAGCCGCAACGTCCTGATGAAGGGCAAAACGTGAGCGGCGCGCGGCGTTCTCGGGCATCGTACTGATCTTGCGCTGCGCAGGCCGAATGGGTGGTTCGAGAAGCTGTGCACGTATGTTATCAACCGGGGGACGTGTGTTGCGTGAGTGTCCCATTCAGTTTGGTGCGTTATGACCGGGAGCTCATGCTTTGTACAGGGTGATCCAGTTGGCGTACTTACTGGCGGTATGTTCGGCGCGCATCCGCTTTGAGATCGTACTCAACGACGTCCCACTCTAGTTCGTGATCGTCCCAGCTAAGCAAATCTGGATGCCCTTCCACCTCGTAGTCTCAAAGGGTCCGTCGTATCGTCTTCGTTCTAGTCGCTTTCTTCACTGAGACAAACACAACCGCTCTAGTGTACGTCAACACCCTCCTCGCGATGCTCAACTCACGTGAGATCACCTCTGGCCGCGGCGCATACGAAGAAGAATCCGTGTCGACCACCACCTCGCAGCCGAAGCTCAGCTTCGGTCGGGGCGTCACGAGCGACACCGGGATCAGCAGGAGCGTGCGGTTCAACATGGATACCATGGTCAGTGCCAGTGGGAGAGACTTCATGGGGATGTTGGCTGATGGTAAATGTTCGTAGCAATCGGCGGACGGCGAGCATAACATCGAGCTTGACAAGCTCGATAGCCAGGGTGCTGTCAAATTTGAGGACGACGTGAGTTGCGCTCTATGCGGGCCTCTCATGATTGCGTGCTGACTGGCATATGTGTTGCCTGCATAGCCTGTATTCGATATTGCGGGTCGTGATCACGCCAAGAGTCCGCTCGACATCAAGGTTACACAGGAAACATTCACTGCGTAATTCGTCTGTCGCTCGGGCTGTATCACCTTTTTTTCGTTGTTCTTCTATTTATCACTTGGATCTACGTTGTGGAACTGTCTTGCTGTCGTATGCACTTCGGTCGCGATCATCTTGGGGTGTCCATTTATTTAATATTGTATATGTACACTGATATTCTTTGCTCATGTCCAGTGGTCGTGTCACAGGATATCCTTCCACCCATCAATCATCGTTGAACAAAGATACAAACTGCCGGAAGGATTGCATTCGGTCTTCTACCATATGATCTTTCATCTGATTCCGCAACTTGAGGCTGCAAGGATCACATCGAATGAGTAACAATTTAATGAACGAGACATGCGTGACCTACTGCGTCGTCTCTCCGTCTTGACCGGTGATAGCAATGTTTTGCTGCTGAAAGTCGACCTCCATCGTGAGACCATCAAGAAACATTAGACGATAACGTCGGTCTCCGCCTTCATTCCGATACTGGACGCACCACCCCACGGAAGGTACAAAGCGAGTCTGGAAAGCAGAGGGGCTGCCTGTATTAGAACAGATCTCGTTGTGGTCTTCATTATGCGACATTTTATCCGCAATTGAAGTTAATTCAGGCCCAGTCGAATCAGGTCGACGACCACCGAAACATTCCGAACGCGTGCCAGGGGAAAATCTTGCAGAAGCCGGTCTTTGCAGAGCGTGTGTAGGATCACTCCTAGGCATATGCGGCGTCGCGGTGTCAGGCAGGCAGTCTTTTGTCTTCATCTCGAGCTCTTCCAATGTTTCACAAACTCGGAGAAAAGTCCAGAGGCTATCCAGTCCGTGCTTCTCAGTGGGATCCAGAGAGGCCAAGTTCCCCTCAGTAAGCAGTGCCTCATCCGAGAGAGTACTGCCAGTAAGGGATACGACTTTCTTGATCCATTGTCCAGTTTCAGTGCCTGCTTCCGTGGAGTAGGGGAGGTAACGCGAGATCTCCAGCGACAGCCTGTTCCTCGATAACCGCATTCGCATGCCAGGCTTGTGTGTATCGCCATCAGTCTTGGGAGAGACCAAGTCAGAACCTGCAGGATTTCCCGGAGACTGGAATGCAATTTCTATGTCGCCTTGCGGCTCGTTTGACATCAGGGTGCACCGGGCGTCCGACATGTGCATGGTCAACTATACCAGACGAACAGAACCGATAATTGTAAAGGTACACCAATGTTTACTAGTCACGCACCTTAGGCGTCCGCTGTTTGATTTGCTGGAGGACGCGCCCGGCATCACTATACTGCTTCCAGTACTCCAAGGGCAGATTATTTATTGAATAAACAGCACTTGGTTCCACCAGACAGCAGGGAGTACTGAGGTGCGGCGCATCATAGACCTTTACCTATCTCGTCACAATAGTCATCTCTTATGTGAGTACTCCAACGGGCAGTCTAGCCTACATACCGTCCGCCCATCAGCATTGACGACAAGCACTTTATCTCCCTTCCTCCCTTTCCTGCGTTCCCGCTCGCGGAAGTCGACCAGCACCGACCGCGTCTGGGCAAGGATGGATATCTGACCACAGGACAATTTATGCGTTTGAGCCTGTAGATTACCAGTCGTGAGTATGGCAGGCCTCGTTAGACCAGACGGAAGTGTAGGGAGAGACGGGAGCTGCGATTCTGGCGGACCAGGGAGAACCGGAGCCGTGACAGTGGCAGCTTTCTCAGCAATCTCGGCAGCAGGACACGAGCCATCTCGTAGCCAGGGTACAGAAGCTCTACGGACAGATGGAGGACCAGTACAACTATCTTGAACTATAGGAGGCTGCAGAAGGGTGAACTTCTTCCAAGCAGTTTTGCCTTTATTGCCGCAAGTAGGATCGTCGGGTTCCTTGTTACCGGAAAGTGAAGTACCCGCAGAAGTCTCCGAGCCACTGCCGTCTGTCAGAGCCGGCGGAGAAACCAGAGATACCGCACGAGATCGTAGTTCCATAGACCGTTGGTCCGAGGCAACAGCAGGATCAGGAGCAGAAAATACTCTTCTTCCGATCTGAGTCTGGGGGAAACGAGGTTTATCCCTGACTTTAATTTCTTCACTCAGAACACGGCGTAAATCCAAATTCATGACTGAAGGGAGCTTGGGGTTTCCGGGGCCAGTGTTGAATCTGTTGATGAGGGGTTGCCGAAGGTTGAACTCTTCTTTCGGTGTGGCAGGGCGTAGCTCGGAGCTTTTTTGAGATCTCTGACGCTCGGGGAATGGTAGATCGTTCTCCTGCGTAACTCCGGGTACCATCAGACTACAGAGATGTCCACCTGAGCTTTTCGTTGTCCTGGGATCCAGAGAATCTGTACCTAAAGAAGGGTCAAGGAACGGGTGCGACAGAACGTCGTCTATGTCAATCCGTCGCCTGGGGTCCTGTGAACGATCAGCTCTACTCAATAACACGGTTGAGTATGGTCAGCAAGCTACCGTGCGCAATAACCGCGAAATCAAGTCTTTGGTGTGGAGCGACGTGTCTGTAGGCAATTCGTATTTTCCTCGTGAAATGCGTTCATGTGTTGCCGCGATGGAACTGGCCTGCGAGTGGCTATAACGCAAGTCGAATTGACGAAGAAAAGCAGAAATACCTCGAAAGGTGGGATGCCGTTCAGGCATGCTATCAGGACGCATCCGAGAGACCAAAGGTCGGTGGGGAAGCTGTAGGGAATGCGGGCAATCATTTCGCTGAAGAAAACCATTATGAATCGATATCTAGTGGCACACCGGGCGATACTTACGGTGAGACGTAATTCGGGGCGCCGCAGAGAATAGAGGAAGTAGAGTTTACCGTAGGAAGGCGGATCGCCAGGGAGAAGTCGCCGAGTTTCTGTAAAAAGCGCGATTGGTCAACATAACTGACAAAGGCATGGATTACTCACGATGCGGTATTCGTTGGTAATTAATAGGTTGGTAGGGTTGAGATTTCTGTGCAGGACGAGCTCTTTCCGCAGGTAGGCCAGTGCGTCAGCGACGCTCTTCAGGACGCCTCGAAGTTGATTGTCAGAGAGTACGGGGAGACGATGGGAATTCGAATGCTGCGAGAGGTAGTCGGAGAGGGTCCCTTGAGGACAGAGTTCTAGGACGTGGTAGGTAGCGCTTGGAATGGAGAAGACAGAAAAGAGCGAAACGATGGATGGATGGTGAATGGATTGATGCAATGCCGCAGATTCCGCGTTAGCTCCAGGAGATGACTCGTCCTCCTGGTCTTTTGACGAAGTGGAGAGTATCTGGGTCATATGCACTGTTTCAGTGAGAAACACAGCAGAGCTGACAGTGCACACCTTCTTCAAGGCTACTTTGCGATTCCGGAGGCGACCGCGTTTACACACAGCAATGTACACGATAGACGAGCGTCCTCTCCCTAACTCTTCTTGAAGAGTGTAGTTCTGCAAGGTGAGCTGATCTATCAGTGGTAGAAAATATGCGATAGTTGGTGGGCGCACTTGTAGACTGTCGAAAGTAGAACAGGGAGGAAACCCATAAGTCATATTAGGCGGAGATACAGTAAACGGGTGGGTATCTCGAAACCGTCCAGGATGGAACCAGAGCAATACAGTGTCGAATACGAGAGAGCTCTCGATGAAGAAATTCCAAAACAAGGCCAAAATTGCCCGAACATTCAAGCTTGAGGAGCGCGATATACCTTCGTCCTCTCGGCAAAGTCAAGCGCCTTTCCACGTGACCGTGCCCTGCCCGACGTTGCCCCCGCCCAGAATCAGAAAGCTCGGCGTCCTGAGCACTGTGCAGGTCGATGCAGGCAGCTGCAGCAGGTATTCTAAAGCTCATAGGTGAAGACAGATACTGAACATACAGCTGAGCACGTATGATGATGGGGAGCAACGGGACTCACGTAAAGGGCTTTACTATGTATAGAACCAGCCATAGACGCCGTATAGCTGAGCGCACAGCCTCGACAAGCAAATATCACACCCGCCCGCCTGCGCCGACCGTCCAAGTTCTCCTTTGCTACGTGCACAAACCCATCCGCTCGTTTTCTCCTTGTAATGCGATCCCTACTAATCCCCCTCTCCGCCCTGCTCCTTTCCTCCGACCGCGCGCAAGCCGCCATCTTCCCGCTGCAGGCCCGGACACGCTCATGGCACACGCGCGCGGACGTGAACGCCTCGGCGACGAGCAACGGGACGATCCCCGTGCACAACACCCACAACGCAGAGTACATCAGCAACATCACGCTCGGCGGCGTGAGCATCCCCGTCATGCTGGACACGGGCAGGTACGCAGCGCAGTGACGCCCGGACCCGCCGCGGGTGATTTACCTCGTCGGACAGCTCGGACCTGTGGGTCGCGCAGAATATCCCTAACGCGAAGGACACTGGCAAGTCTGCGAAGCTTTCGTACGCCGTGGGGACGGCTGCTGGTGCGTAGTCTGTCCTGGCTCTAGGGATCGGGACTCACGCGACTCTGCAGGTGACATTTATACCGCACCGCTCGAGTTTGATGGCTACACCGTACCAGACCAAGCGTTCAGTGAGTGATCAAGCCGCTCATGACCCTCGCGCCCCTAACCTCAACCGCAGTCATGGTCACGGACACCAAGTCCTTCTCGACCGACATTAGCGCGCAAGGCTACAACGGCCTCGTCGGGCTGGGACCCAACTCCGGCTCGGTGATCTACAAAGAGATCGACAACGCCTCAGGCGACACGATGCTCAACCGCATCTTCTCGCAAAACAAGACCTCCTCCAACTTCATCTCCTTCCTCCTCTCGCGGCTCGGCGACCCGACGGACACGATCCCCGGCGCGTTCACCATCTCCGAGGTCGTGCCCGGCTACGAGAACATCACGAGCATGCCCAAGATCGCCGTCGAGAAGGTGCACCGGCTCACGAACGCGGACCAGCACTGGCAGATCTACACGGACAAGAACGGCGTGATCGGGCCGGACGGGCAGCCCATCGCGGTCGACTCGATCGTACCGAGTGCGCCGGACGGGCAGCTGGTCGCGGTGCTCGACTCGGGGTTCACGCTCCCGCAGGTGCCGCGCGCGATGTCGGACGCGATCTACGGGCGCGTGCAGGGCGCGGTGTACGACGAGGACAGCCAGGTGTGGACGGTGCCGTGCGACCAGCTGCTCCAGATCTCGTTCAAGTTTGGCGGGGTGACGTACCCGGTGCACCCGCTCGACACGGCGACGAGCGATTTCAACTACACGGACGCGACGGGCAAGGCCATGTGCATCGGCGCGGTGCGTCTGTCTCTCCCGCGTTTGTGAAATCTGGGCAGCTGATTGGGTTACCCCAGTTCCAACCTATCACCAGCGCGTTCAGCCTGCTCGGTGAATACGACATGATCCTCGGCATGGCCTTCCGTGAGTATCCCCCGCCCCCCCTCCCTCGTCCCCACACTCACCCCCCGCAGTCCGCAACGCGTACACGCTCCTGGACTTTGGCGACTTTGTCGAAGACACCGCGGAAGACACGGGCGACCCCTACGTGCAGCTCCTCCCGCTCACCGACGCCGCGCAAGCCAAGAGCGACTTCATCGCCGCGCGCCTGAACGGCGTCGACACGACCGGCGACGCCGCGCACGCGCTGCTGCCCGCGTCGCAGATGAAGCACTCGCCGGAGACGGAGGAGGAGAAGAAGAAGGCGCGCGAGGAGGAGATCCTGAGCCGCTGGCCGTACATCCTCGTCGGGTGCCTCGCGTTCGTCGCGCTGAGCGTGGGGCTGTGCGTCTGGCGGTGCTGCTGCCGCCGCGGGAAGAAGGGCGGCAAGGGCGCGAAGGGCGGGATTCTGGGCGGGGGGCTGAAGGGCAAGCCGGTGTACCAGCCGCTGAGCGAGCCCGCGCCGCCGGCCATGAATATGCAGCCGATGGGGCAGAGCGCGTATTCGGATCCGTATGGGCGGAGGTGAGGGGAGGTGAAGGAGTGTGCTGCTGCTATGCTGTTTAGTTTACCAGTTTGTAAGGTACCCCGGGTGGGCGATGGACCTTGTCGGGTGCGCTTGCGGGTGGTTGTTGTATATATATATACACCGGATTTAATGCAAGGCGACCTCGCGACCAAATATTACTGCTCATAAGCAAAAGAACGAGGTAATGTATATTACAGGAACAAGATCCGCTACCCGACGTCGACGGCTAGCCGTCTACTTGTTCCCGACCATCGTGCGATAGTCAAACGCTGACGCCCAACCAGGCGAGCACGTTCTGGAGCTTATCGTACCCCCTCTGGCCGCTGAGCCCGCCGACGACGATGATAAAGTGGGCGAGGCCGGCGGCGACGATGAAGGTGACGACGCTGGTGGCGGAGTACATGCTGTTCTTGGCGTCGCCGACGTCCATGAGGGGCTTCGGCGGGGGGATGTTCGTCACCCAGCGGCGGTCGTCGTCGCTCGGGGTGGAGGGGGAGACGGGCGTGGTGGGGTCGCCGAGGACGGGCGAGGACGGGCGGAGGTGCAGCGCGGGCTTGCCGTTCGCGGGGGCGCGCAGCGCGTCGAAGAGGCCGGCGTTGAGGGCGAAGGCGATGTTGGCCTCGTCGAGCATGGCCGCTGGAAACCAGCGTGAGCAGGGCTGGCGGGAATCGCGGGAGCTACGTACCCTTGAGCTGGGCGTCGTCGCCGACGCCGCTGTCCATGCCCGCGCGGAACCACTCCTTGAGGCGCTTGAGGTCGCCCTGGGTGCCGGGGGCGGCGCTGCTGGCCGGCTGGTGGAAGGCGTAGAACTGGACGCCGGGGCGGTCGGCGGGGTCGAGGCCGTACGCCTTGGCGAGGCGGCGCTTGATGGTCTGGCCGCCGCTGAGGTCGCCGAGGTAGCGCACGTAGGCGTGGGCGAGGAGCAGGGCGGGGTGGGAGTGGGCGACGGTGTGGAGGCGGGCGGTGTAGGCGGCGAGGGCGGCGCGGTGGGCGGGGGAGAGGGCGGTGTGGAGGGGGTGGGACTGCCACTGGGAGGCGGGGACGTCGAGGAAGTGGGCGATGTCGGCGGCGAGGGCGGCGGTGCGGGAGAGGACGGCCGGGTTGTAGGACGGGGCGAGGACGGGGTCGGCGGCGTGCTCCGCCAGGGCACTTTCCAGGGCGCTGCAGGTCATTAGCACAGCGATAGCGCGGACTGGAGGGCAGACTCACTCGTACACGTGCCAGAGCATCATCAGAAAGCGGACATACTCGTCCTGGTCGAGCTCGCCGCGGACGAGGTAGCCGGCGCCGGCGCTCTTCTCGAGCTGCGCGTGGGCGCCGGACGTCCCGACGCGGAGCAGCTCGGAGACGGGGCGGGCGTAGTCGAGGGAGGCGGCAGACATGGCGACAGGGGCTTGGCCAGCAAGCGAGGTGGTGTAATTTGAGCAAACTGCAGAGCCTGCGCAGCCGCGACTCGACATGGCGTGATCGGCGCCAATCTTATCTGATAACCCACAGTCGGGAGCGACGTCTTCCAAGTCGCTCTTTGCTAATCGGTCACGCTATTCGTTTCATCATAGACTACGAAGGAGAACTTCATCAATACAAAGGGGGTGAAGGCCGAGACTATGCAAGCAAGAGAAAAAAGTCCGCGGTTCGTACATTTGTTTTGGTCAGAGATGAAGATCATAGTAAAATGTCTAGTGCTACAGGATTTATCGCTAGATGAGAAAGCTACTCCAATAAAGAAAAATAAAAAGTTGAAAGGCAAGGCAATAGTTCCGGACTTTGTTCGAAGTTGCAGGGTGCATATCCTGGAAGACGTGTGTCAGCCCAAGTCGAGGTGCAGGCTCAAAGCTTTGTCTGGCCTCACCTAATCCTGCGACTCGCCGGGCTCCCCACCCTCCGTGGCGCCTTCCCCAGTCTCCGTTCCGCACGCCTTCTCCGCCATCTCCCTCTGCGCCGCCGCCCTTTCCCGCAGCGACGCGATCAGCTCCTGCTGCTGCACCGTCATCTCATGCATCGCCCTACACCCCAAAATCATAAGCTCCCCGGGCATACAACAATGGTGCTCGAGACGCTTACACCATCAACCCCCCCAGCTCCCCGATAAACCCGCTCACCGTCCGCGCGGCGCTCTCGTACCCCTCGTTCCCGCGCATCACCGCGCCCACCGCCTCCTCCACGCCCGCGACGCGCGCCCGCAGCACCGCGAGCCCCGCGCTCATGCCCTCCACCGCGCGCGTGAGCGCCGCGGTGTCGCCCGCGACGCCCGCGACCGCGAGCTCCGTGCGCGTGGCGACCGTCGTGACGTGCTGCGTGTTCCGCTCGAGCGAGAGCATGTGCCGCGTGAGCGCGTCGCTCGTGCTCTTGGTCGACGCGAGGCGCTCGGCGAGCCAGCCCTCGAGGATTTTGAGGGAGTAGTTGAGGTACTGGTCGAGGCGCTGGCGGTCTGCGGGCAGGTCAGTTATAGCACGCCGCGGGGAGCGGGGAGGCGCGAGGGGCGCACCTTCGGGCGACATGCCGCTGTTGGGGGCGTCGCGGAAGGGACGGACGACGAACGCGTCCGGGGGCGGCGGGGGGCTGGGAAATCGGGCGTCAGCGAATGAAGGGGAAAGGGCGGTGGCATGCCACCCACATTATCGGCCGGGGGGTCGTGCTCTCCCGGATCCTCGACCTGAGGAGCTCAGGGCTCGGCGGCAGTCCGGGACTGGTGGGGGGCTCCGGGAATCGTCGCGACATGACGGGTAACGACAAAGGGATGATGTGTAAGTGCGAGGTGACGGGTGATTGTCTGGTCCCTTTCTCCCGGCCCTTTTATATCTTCTAGCCCAAGCCACATCTCAGGGTCCTCCCCTCTCGTCCAATGGCGAGCTGGAAACCCAGAATCGATGCCACCAGGCCCAGCCGCACTTCCCTTGACTTCCCTCCGCAAGCGAGCTTCGAAACCACACAGAAGCATCCCCCCCTTCTTCTCCCAAAAATCAAGGAATATATCCGGCACTCCTCTTGTTCCCCATATCGACTGATCCGTTATCCATCACTTCCGCTTGTTCTCTCATCACCCTATCAGACCCTTTAGCAACAAAAGGCGAAGAAAAACAAAGGAGAGCATTTGCGGAGGTGTGGGCGTCTGTGGGTCCCCCCGTCCCGCGCGGACGACCACTCACATCCAGGAAACTGTGATCCGAGTCTCTCCCGGCGTGATAGGTTTCTGTTTTTCTTTGCAGCCTTTTCACATTACCCGAGCTCACCCTTGATTGCAGGGTTTGGAAGAGATGTGGCATGGGATGTTCCTCGTCCCTCGGACTCAAAAATCAGTGTCTCCCTCTTTCGCCCCCCCCATTCTCTCCCTCATGCTCTCACACAGATGCTGGTGCAAGCACATCTATTCCGGCGCTCCCGTTGCTCGCAGCAGGGTAGTTTGAAGGGAGACTGTCCCCGATGCGGTCCATGACCCGGTGGCCCATGGGTGCCAGCTGCCGTCGTCCACCGCGCCATGGACTCAGCGTTGAGGGAGAGCACCGATCGACCAGTTCACAGACGTTTCACGCGAGAACGCCTGGCGTGTTGGGTAGACACCGCACTGAGATAATAACACAAGGTACCGACAGCAGTCCGAAAGCAGTATCTACTATTAATCCTAGATCAACATATTATATCATATATAACCCCGTACCCCTTCAGGTCTAAGGCTAACGACGAGGGACGAATGAGCAGCCGCTCCTGTCCCGGTATACCTGAGCGACAGGCCATCATGACGTGCCATGCTCGGATTTCCACCACTGCAAAGACAAAGGCGTCAGCTTATTGAATCACGGCAAGACGGAATCGACTCACCTCCACCATCCTCTTCACGCCCTCTTCCAGGCCAACCTCCGGCTCGTACCCCAGCACACGCCTCGCCTTCTCGATATTATGCCACCGATGCACACAGCTGAAGGTAACCCTGAACCGCGTGAACGCGGGCTCCTTGCCCACGAGCCAGCCCCACCACTCCGCCGCGTACGCCAGCGCCATCCCTACCTCGCGCGGGAACGTAATCCGCCCGCGCTCCGGCGGCGCGTCGGGCGACGACGCGCGCAGGCTGCGCCAAACCGCGCGCGGGAAGTCCCAGAAGTACGTCGGCTCGCCGTTGGTGATGAAAAACACCTGCCCCGCGACCTGCAGGGGGTCCGTCACCACCGAGCTGTCCGCGTCTGCTTCCTTTTCCTTGCGGGTGAGGGATGCGTGCTCGCGCGCGCGCGCGATAGCCTGGTCAGATAGGGGATCGAACCGCGAGCGGACGACGGGGCGCGGGTGCGAAATGGCGGTGTACGGGGCTTTCGGGTCGGGGGATTCGAAACGGGCTTTGATCTCCTCCGCGTCAGGGGGCGGCTCGACGTACGGGCCGAGCGGGCGGGCGACTGATGTGGGCTGTCGGTGCGAGCCGGTGGTAAGGGAGACGGTGGGCAGGTAGTAGTTGATGATGGACTGGGTCTCTTCTTCGGTGAGCTGTTTAGGTGGGACGAGCTTGTCGGCGGCGAGCAGGTGCGCGTGGGCGACGTTGGTGACGTAGGTCCAGTCGAACAGGTTGGTGTTATCTCCGATCTGGAAGTGGGTCTGATTGCGGGCGAACACTTGAGACAGACCGTGCATGACCTGGCGGTCTCCGGGCCTACTCGGACGTCAGTTCGCTATGCATGGACCGGAACCGGACACTAGACGCACCCGAATATCCCAGACGGTCGCAGGGCCACTGTCAAGAGACCGCCCTTGCCGTTTGCTGCGAGTACCAGTTGTTCCCCCTTCGCCTTGGATTCGTTGTAGGCGTCCATGGACTTCTCCGGAGGGGTTAGCCGTTCATCAATGTTCACCAGGTCTTCGCCGTTAAACACGACGCCTGCCGAGCTGGTGAACACGAGTTTGCGGACGCCGTTCGCGATGGCAGCGTTGATGACCGCTTGGGTACCATCGACGTTGACTTTCCAGTACAGAGCCGGATCGTCAATGCCGTGAGGGGGTGAGGCAACGTGCATTATACATGTTGCGCCGCTCTAGGATACGATGAGCCTCGCAGAATAATGAGAATATATGTGACATACCTTCTGAACTGCCTGCGCTACCTGGGCCTCCTCGCTGATATCTCCCGAATAAAATGGGACATCATGGTACCTCTGCACAATGTCAAATATGGATACAGAGTCGCCGCGGGCGAGGAGCTTGTCGACGATGTGCCGCCCGAGGAAGCCGCTGCCGCCGATGACGAGGTAGATATCCTTGGGCTGTGTCGACATGGCTGGCGGTGGTAAAGAGGGGGTCCCGAGCCGGCTGCCACCCGCTCGACTTATATTTTTCGATTGCTGGACTGACAGGCACGATTCTGGGACCATACCATTTCGCCGCTCTCAGGCTGTGATTGGCTGGTCTTTGCACCACGTGCGCAGGACGCGCGCCACAAGTGATCGCCACGGCGCGTCGGTGATTTATTGCACTTGCACTCACACTTGAACGGGCCGGGCACTCGTATTCGCTGGCTTTGATTCGTCTCAATACACTCTGCGAACAGGGCACCATTTGAACTGTCTGGCCATGGCTCCGAAACGTCCCAGCAATGATGAACTAACAGCCACACAGCGGAAAAGGCAGAAGATGGACACTGCTCGTACAATCAATGTCCAGCCTACATCAGCTAACGCAGGGGGGAACGCTGCTGCGGGTCCGTCGAGAGTCACCTTTGCTGATAGTCAGTCGACACGCCACCTGCGATTGACTACGCTGGGACTGATTGTATCTAGGTCTCAAGGGCTTGCCTAGCGCATTGGATGTCGAGAGATTCGCGGAGGTCTGCACATATCTTCGCTACATGAACCGCTGAGGTGGCTCAATGTGCGGCTTTTGTTAAAGGCAAGAGCTTTCGAAATCAATGCAATGGAACAATCTATGAAAGACATAAAGTGCGTGCCCTGCCGAGAGCAAGGATTCATGCCTAACGAGTAACGCTCGCCACCATCCAGAGAAGCCAAGACGACTCGCGTGTGGCAAGAACTGCCTCGGCACCTGCGTCGCAGAGCAGCGAGCCATGACGTCCGCCGCGTCCCCGCCCGACTTCGGGATAAGGCTCGCGCGGAAGTAAGCCATAGACTTGTGTCAACCTGCTACGGCTACTCATCTACTGGCTTATAGATGGATGCGTCAAAACGCAAGCTCTCCGGAAAATCCAAATCGAAGCCAGGGAAGAGCAAGAGAATAACTCGCACCGAATCTTTCCTCAGAAGACAGCGTACGTCCTCGACCTAGCCTCAAACGAGTTTTACCGAAGACGTTGTAACTTTTATGTAGGCGATAAGACTTGGCTGGAGACCCATATTTGGCATGCAAAGCGAATGCATATGGAGACGCTCTGGGGATATTCTTTGGTACGTCGAGAACACGACACCCTCACGTACAGCGCATTTAGTCTGTGTCTAGGCAGTGACACCAACTGAGAAGTCCTTCAGGCCTTCCCACCGTGCCTCTGTGCACGGTGCCATTCTGCATGATGCGTCATATTACTCTCTAATTGAACTCCAGGGACCGGAAGTGGAGCTGAAAGGTATTTTGGAATACTGCTGTGACCCGCAAGGTCCGAGTCCTGGTGCTCAACGGTCAGTTTATGATCGATCTTTGTCACACACATGTACTAACTAATTGAGTAGGTATACTACTGGCTCTCGTACCCTTGATACTCATGCCTACGAGCCCGGCGACTTTCCGTATGGTTTATTAGGACCGGTGACCATTATGTGGCGGCCGAACAGGCCGTCGATAAACGCGGATGCCGCAAAGGTCGACGCTCCCAAGACAAGCAAGACTCAAGGCAGCGACACAACCAAGGCCAAGTCCAAGGCGAAGGAAGCGCCACAAACCAATATCATAAGAACCGTGTGGATCCGCTGTCATCCGGACATGTTCGACCCTGTTTTCAATGCACTCCGCACATCCGCGTCTCACATCCTAGATGCCCGCAAGAAAGCCGGCAATAGCGACTTCTGCAAGATTGACCTGGCTGACCTTCGTGAACATGTGAATGTGTTCGAGATCGTCGGTCCGAAGTCAAGTCAAGTGATAAAGGGAGCGCTGCGACCTGTCAATGAGGATAAGAGGGACGAATTCAAGAAGGTAGGTACGGTGAAATTTCGGCGTGGTTCTCCATTGAAGGTCATATGAATAGTTCTGGTCCTCGTTGACTGATCTACAGTCTGCCGGTTCCATCCCTCGGGGGATGGTGGTCGGCCTGAAGGTCTATGATCCGCGGCTCAGGTAAGGATGTTTACCAGTTCCCGCGAAGTTTCAATCCAATAGATGGTTCATAGCTTTCCGCCTAAGAACGCAAAACCGAAAGTGGCAAAAGATGACCTACCGAGCCTGTCACTCCCTTCGGCCACGTTCCCTACGTCTACTCTCGCGCAAAGCGAGATCTGGGAGGAAAACGTTCGACACGCGCTCAGGAAGCCGCGGTACAAGACGAAAGATATAGACGAACGGAAATCCAAGGTAATACGGGTGACATTCTCCGTGGATGGCGATTTAATTGATGTGCCCAGAATCTCGTTCCCGGTACTCCTTTGTCTCCTGAACGCCAAGACGATCGAATACCTGCCCTGCTTATCCAGCGCTCCATCGAAAGGCCCGCTGCCATCTCTGCGTCCTCTTCGTCCTCTTCAGCGAGAGAAGGAGACAAATCGGACAATGGGCTCCACGGTTGGATGCTCATCGTTCCATCCGGGTGGTCCATGCCCTTCTTCATGTCCCTTATTCACACCGGCACACGGGTTGGTGGGCAAAGAGAGCGCCAGACGCAAGCCTTTGAGGCGGGAGCGGCGTACTTCCCCCGCGACTATCCGTTCACGGCTACGTATGAGTCGCAAACGAATGCCGCTGCCGCTAAGGAGAAGGAGAGCTGGGAGAAGAAGCCGCCCGCGAAGCGGGTGAACTACGGCGCAGTAGGGACTAGGAGCCCTTGGAAGCCGGACTGGGACGTTGTGCTGGGCTTGCGGACTGCTTCCGTTACTCCTGCGGCTGAGTCGGAGGATCTGGTGTCTACGCAAAGAGAGCCTCGGGCGGCAAACGTCGAGATCAAGCCATGGTTGCTTTGCGGCCCTCAAGTTCCTTCCGTACTGAACACTATCTTCTCCATGCTCAACCCGACTGCGGGCCTTTTGGAAGAGCTTAAGAGGCTGCGCATGAAGCGTAATCTTGACCCTATCGGGAGTATTGCCAATGCGGACTCGCTATGGAAGGGTGCGCTCGTCAGGGTCAGAGTAAACCTACTTGGCCGTGGGTCTCCGGGAGAGCTTGCCATGCTATACCAGACGGAGGATAAGGATTTGCGTCAGTGGATCAAGACTAGGGCTACTAACAGAGGTCGCATTCTGGAAGATAATGAAGAAGAACCCGAGGTACGTCGCAGTACGCGGTTGCTCTAGCCTCGTAATGATAACGGCGCCACGAAAAGGTGACCCACGCAATCCCATCTTCGGATGCCATCATTGGCTATGTGACTACTGGCAACTACTCGTTGTCCAGGGGCCAGGGATTTGCGATTGGTGCTGTTCCCCTGGCCCGGATACACGACCTGAAGCAGCAGGCCGAACGGTTGCATCTTGGTGCATCAATGCACACGATGGTACGGGATAGAGGCGATACAATCTGTCGCCTGGCACGCGTAGGAATACTGGGTTCGTGAGCGTATTCTGCAGTCCTGTGAATATCAGATCACATGGTACGGTATGCAATTACTCGGGATGATATCGATGAGTTGGTCAGTCAAATACATATCATGGTTATCGTGGTGTGCAGCATCTACAGTCCCAGGACAGTATGCCAGATGGAAAGTGTCGAAAGCGAATGAACAAACTAAGGATACAGCTATCGGATAGCAAAGGGAACGTCCAGCGTCTAAAAGGATTCATCTTAGTCAAGTTTCCATTTATCGAGCGCAGCCTTGACGAGCTTGGCCATCTCGTCCCGCGCTTGCTTCTTCGCGCTCCCGGTGAGACCCTCGAGATCGTCCAGCATGCCAGGTGAGGCCTCTAACGGATCGAACTGGAGAACACGGCCGTCCCTTATCGGAACAGAGACCATAGCACGTGCAGGGACTGGCGTAGCGGGCATGGGATCCGACTCTCCGGAGTCAGTTCGAGTCCGAGTGCTGTCGTGCGATGAGGAAGGCGGCTTCCAGGTCGTCTGCAAGTTGTCTGCCCGCGAGTTCGCGCGAGAATGCGAGGGTCCCCCTTTGGAGGAGGACATCGATGTGGAAGTCTTCAAGATCGTGATGCTATTCACGCGTTTATGCCCGTGCCCATGTCCGTTGATGGCATTGCGAGGATTCGAAGGCCCCTCCATCTTGTCGTCCGGGTCCATGCTTCCCCATAGAGGATTCTGCAGGGGTGAACCGTTTATACTGAGCAGGTGTTCACCCTTGCGGGGCCACCGGGGTGCAGGAGGGTAAGCGGGGGTTTTGTGTGGCATGGAGGGATTGAACACCGCGCTGCTAGGTGGTCGCGTAGAGCGTCCGAATGCGACAGACTTGGAAGGCGAGGCGGGGCGGGAATGTGGGAATGGGATGGTTGTAGGTCCTGTGGCGAACCGGGTAGTCTTGGACGGGCTCGGGGAAGGTGCTGGTGCTGAAGGCTTGAAACGCGCCTGTAATAGGAGGTCAATCAGACTACATCTGTAACAGGAGATCTTATGCACCTACCGTGCCGGGTGTTCGCCCCATCTGAGCTTTCATGCGCTGAGCCGTACCTGGACCATTTGAAGGGCCGGCTTTCTTGGGCGTTGTAAACCCTAGTCGTGCTATGCGAAACTGAGCAACTACAGTGTCTACACATGGAATCGGCCTTACCGTTCTTCCGCGCCCGTAGAAGCTCTGCGTCGAGCCCGCTCTTAGATGCCCCTTGGTCATCAACGTCCGTATCCCACTTCCTCTTCCTGACACTTCTCGCTATCTCCTCTGTGTCCGCAACCATCTTCTCCCTCTGCACGCCAAGAGTCGCTGCTTGTACATTGCCGTCATACTTGTCCATGAACTCAGATATGGACATATTCCGGAGTTGCTTGGGCATGCGCGAGATCAGCCCCTCCTGCCGCATCCTGAACTGCAGGATTCCATCTTCAGCCCATTCTTCAAATTGACGTGTCTTATGTTCAACTGGTATTGAATAAATGAAATTGGCGATGATGGAGGCAGATGGAGACTTACGCTCGATCTCGAGATTGGCGAGGAGCTGGGCCTGCTCTTCACGAGTATATTTTCGTGTTGAGTCTGGTAATTCCATCCTCCAACTTGCGATTCGTGTTCAAGATGTAAATTACGCGTCCAGACGGTATAGCAATCGCTGAACGCGTACGGGGACCAAGATATCGCGTTGGTGACCGCTGAATCTAGTAGACACGAGTAGAGCAAGTCCCGGAAAGCCACTTGCTGAGTTTGGACCGTAGCGAAGCGAAGCGCTGCGGTCCCACGCGTCATGCCTCGGAAGGCTCGGATTCGTCTTTGTCCCTCTATGTACATTGCAGCCAAAATGCTGTCTCTCGCAGCTCGTCGAGCAAGCAGCTCTCACTTTCCCTTACGACGCTGGGCGGGTCAAACGATATCTACCAGTCATGTCGTAAAAAATGAGACCGCCGCGACTTCAACCAACCTGGGGCCTGTTGCTGCACCCAAGAAGCCAATTGGCGGGTTCCGAGGCGGGTCTGTGTCCCTAGTTGCGCTGTAGGACGCGTCGATTTACTCCTTCAAATAGTATCATAGGCTTCCTTTTCGGATTCTCTCTCGCGGCATCCCTTGCCGCTTATAATCTGCTGGATGAGTATCGACAGGCTTCCGCTGCTTTGCAGGCAAGTGTTGCCGAGCTACAGCTCAGCACTGAGAAGGTACGCATCCGCACTCCACACTTTGACTATGCCTGATGATCACGTTATAGGTGTCAGCCCACGTAAGAAGGATTGAGGCGGTCGAGAAAGATCTGAAAGCTCTGTCCCAAACATCAGCGAGCAAAGAGGAGGTTTCTAAGCTGCGGACGGAGATGAAGAAGATATACGATGGTCTCCATGTTGGTGCGTAACTTGAGCAGTCGTAATACCCCGACATCACGCTCAATACACGTTGCTTCCAGAATTCCTTGACTTGCGGTCGCATGTGTGGGGCATACGTGAGTTCCTTACAACACATGACTCTGTCTTCGTTCTTACTGTGCCGCGTTACCATAGAGCAAGATGTGCATGCACTATCGAAGAAAGAATCTACCTCCGTTCGCATCTGATAGAGCGTGTATCATTAGTGCTTCGCCTTGCGCTGGAAACTCTAGAGGTGTGGGCTCTTCCACTTGCATGCGATAACTGGGTCGGCTGCGACTGGCGCAAGTTTGTCATCCGCCGGAATGCTGCACTCTGTCTGGAGGTACCTCCAACGAGCACAGTGCTTACTCGTCTGCCCTACCCATTTTCTACGTAGGTCAGATGTTTACAATAGACAGTGATGATTGAAGCAGCGAGATAGCAACAATCGCCGAGGTTCCCGCCGATTTCCCAGTGACTTTGTCCCTAAGATGAAGTGAAGATGAATCCACCGTTAGCTGGCTCAGGCTTTAGGTTCATGGAGTCCTTCAGTGGTTGCAATTACCGCCTAGAACTGCAGGAGGCTCAGTAACCGTTGATGCTATCACTGTCGACGTCGACTCGACGGACCGAATGAGACTCTTGTTTGACCGGTATGTACTGAGCTCCAGTGAGCATGGTTGAAGCCTGAGGCCCAAGTACCTGAAGGCGGCCGACGCATGCACAAACGACTTTTATTGAGTGATCGCCCTACCGCGCCCGAACGTTGATCGCATCATAGGCCGGCAGCGACGGGAGCGTACGGTTGCCGAGCAGCACCAGGTCTATTTTCCAAAGTGCATTTCACTTCGTCAGGGTGCCTTTACATCCCGCTGGGGTCCATGAGTGGCTGTGCGAGGTCTGGTCAGTCCCCTGACTGCATCGCCGGACTCCTTCTCCAGCACAGTTTCTGAGCATTTCTCTACTGTGTATGGCCTATGTATGACTTGCTAAAGTATAAGACACAGCTACAGAATACAGAAAGTGTGCACGACTGCTCTAGAGAGCGCTTGAGGCGTAGAGCAAGTATCATGGGGGTCCCGGTGAGACTCCGGGAAGTCCAGGAACATCTGTAGCCGGGAACTGAAGAGCTTCTCGACTCTCTGCTTTTCAAGCGAGATCTATGGTGACACTTGATTTGGATCTGTACTTGTCGTAACTTGTCAGTGAGTCCCAATCCTTTAGCAATAGCATATTATACCATACTGTGGTGCGCTACTGTATTACTGTACTTTAATTTTGCTAGAATTTGCAACTTCTACAGGTCCGACTTTCGTGAACTCCCGAAGGCGCCGGACTCGGGGTGCGGGTCAATGGACTTCAGCTCGCCCAGCAAGTGCAACCGGCACGCAGAAATTTGGATCTCGGATAGTAAGGGTCCTTCAACAATACAGCAGCAAACTTAATTACTGGCTTCAGTCTTCTATCACTGCTCTTGACCCGGAGCATAGCTGGAGGGCGAATTCAAGTAGGCATGAGGAGCTGCGAAAGGAGGGTCTCCGGGTCCCACAAGGACCCCTGAAAATACCGATAGATGCCGGTGCCAGTCCGGACAAAAAAGGCACCTCGGGTGAGGAACGCCGGTCCCAGTCCGGACGTAAATGGGGGGCTCAGCCGGCCAACCCGGTTTTTTAGTCCGGACACCAACGGCACTCCTTCAGTGAGGGCGGTTGTAGTCCGGACATGGTCAGCAGCCCGTCACTTCCTCCCGACTGGTACATTATCATTACCCAGTATGGTGTTTTGTACCAAATAAGGATAGACATGCATGGAATTATACAGTTTTTAGTATCACGACGGCTTCCGGCGTCCAGTGGCTGGCTGTAAGACGAAAGCCACCATGCTACAGGCCATTGAGTCTGATGGGGAGGGTGACGAAATTTAGGGAGGGACATGATCATCTATCTCGAGAACTAACTTTCATAGATGGTTCAGGATGGTGGGCTAGCATACATACACCCTAGTATCTCGTGTCTAGAATGAATTGTGGACTACAATGGGTGATTTTCGCTGTTTCCTAGAGGCCGGGGCCATAGTCCGGACATGAATCCGACCTTGGCCGAGGCGGGTATTTTATCCGGACATAAAGGCGGAGGGCAGCCAAAAAAAGTCCGGACATGACAAAATCGAGTCCCGCACCGGCATCTATCGGTATTTTCAGGGGTCCTGTCCCACACCGCCGAGATCAGTATTGTATTTCCGGGGTCCGGATACGTAAGATCGTGCACTTGAGCAATGGCATTCGCGAAATAGACCTGGTGCTGCTCGGCAACCGTAGAGCGAATTGTCGGACGTCGTTATTGCCTTTTCCAGATATGTCATTCTCCAGTTCTAACTTCTCCCGTTGTAAGGTGAAAGGACTTGCTCCGTAGGCGAGCTCGAGCTCCTGGAGCCAAAGACGAATAATTAAAGAAGATCACTTTCTAGCTCTTGTCCTGGATTTAAGGGGCCGGTTGCCAGTGGTTAGCCAAGCAGCTTCGGCAATGGATGACAACCCGAGCCCCCTGCGTAACTTCGCGACCGCAGAAGAGTAAAATGGAAAGATCAGGTCCGGGCCTCGAGCGGGCCGCGTACGCTATAAAGGAGCGAGATACGAAGTCCCTGCTCACCTTCATCTCCCCCCTTCTCTCGTTCTTTTTCCACCAGCTTGGTCTGGTTTCCGATTGCGTTAAGTCGTTCAGTCAGTCTTCATTCAATTATACAAGACCATTGTTACTTACACGATACTTCCCGTGCAGATTTGCTGATTACTGGCGGTGCCATCCTTTCTTGACTTCCAACTTTCATTTTGATACAACACCGTCGCCCTGCAAACTCTCTCGGAATGCTCTCCTACAAGACCATCGTTCTCGCTCTTGCCTGCTCTGCGTTCGCGCTACCCATCAGGCGTGAGGTTCCTCAAGGTATGCAAATCATTCTCTCGCACTGTCGTCCATAAATTCACCGGTTATCACATAGAGCACTCTCACGAGTCCATTCTGACGGCCGTGCGCACGCAATTGAACAAGAACAACCCTGACCAGATCCAGGACCCTGTTTTTGCCCTGCTGGGTGCTGCTGCAGCATCAAAGGGGGCGGGCAAGATCACCGTGAGTGGCACGACATGGGGATCATTTATAGTTTTCTGAAGGGTGTCTTTCTCTCTGCAGGACACCGATTGCTTGCAGCAAGCCGTCGCTGATCAGGCTTTCACGAACGCTAAGGCAGACGGTGATGTTGATGGTATGGTCAACGCCCTCATCTTCCGTGCGCTTGAGCGCAACAGCGGCTCCGTTGGCGCTACGACCAATGCCTGCACTAGCATTCAAGCCAAGAACCCCGAAATTGCGGCCATCCAGCAACACCAGGATCCCGCTTCGGACAACGCCGCTGCCACCAACAAGGCTATTACTCTCGAGCTTGCCAAGCAAATTGCTTCTGTCGGCGGCGACCCCCAGTTGGCGCTCAAATCCGGAACATTTGCTCCGGGCACCAAGGGTGACCCGACCGCGAAGGGTAACTCGTGCGATGATGCCAACGATGCCGAGGGCTGTATCTTCACCCAGAACTTGCTGGTGGAGGACGCTACCGCCGACGAGATCAACGCTGCAGTCGCTGGTATCTCGGCTTCTAGTGGATCGTCTACTGCTACCTCTTCCGCTGCTGCCTCTACTGCTACCGATATAAACAACGCCAGCCAGTGCACTCCCGGTAAGCTATTTACTCCACAATGGTAGACGACAAAACTGATTGTTGGTAGTGACGGTTACTGTTACGGCATCTGCATCGGCTGCTACGCAGACTAACGCTGCTGCTGCTGCTACGACAACCTCTGCTGCTGCGTACGTCTCTCTCATTTTCGCCAAGTATCTCAGCTCATTGTGAAATCTACCGAAGTGCATCCTCCAGCGCCGCTGCTTCGGGTGGAAACCTCCAGACCTTCACTGGTGCTCGTACGTATCCTACGTTTACTTCATATGGAACCGTCTTTAAATAATGGTGTACAGTTGGGGGTATCTCTGCCCCGGCAGTTACAGCTGGCGGCCGCGGTTTCGTAGTCGAAGGCAGCGATGACTTCCTGAATGTCGCTGCTGCCCTTGGTCGTTCGTGCGATGTTCAGCACAACAAGTGCGCCAACGCCGCCAACTCCGGCGGAAGCTTCTCTGTTGGCGACTGCGATTCCCAGAACACCCAGTGCCGGGCTGCTATCAACTAGGGGAAAGGTTGTTACTGAGGGTATATAGGGAGGCGGTCTACGCTCTGTCTGGGAGGTATACCCGTAGATCAGGGTTGATGGGTACTTGTATCACTACTTTGTTTGGCTTGGGATGTCAGGTGTACCCAGCATCGCAATTGAACTAACTTGCCAATCAACTCGAAGACCGTGAGAACCTGGTGAGAAGTGAATCTGATCATAGGAAGGTTTACGGTCTTAATCGGATTACATAAGCAACTCCCGCCACCGCTGCAAGTCAAGCTCGGGAGGCGGGCAGATGCAGCCTCCTCCATGAGGGTACGGTAGGGTAGAAAATTCGGAATAAAATTTCTTTGAACTATAGTACATGTGCAGCTACTGTACAGTGCAGCTAAGTAAGGAATAAATACCAGGAGCAAGCAAGTAGGTCAGCTAAAGCTCGGGGCAAGCCACAGATCTGGGTGCCGAGTGGACTGTGATGCCGCGGTTGGGACTGTGAATTTCCCGACCCGAACCTAGCTGAGGAGGGGGTCGATTTTGGCGCGCGCCCGCGCCAAATCGCGTCACGACGCGATTTCCGCTGGCGAAATTCACAGTCCATAGCCTTGGCATTTACAGTCCCTCGGGTAGATATCTGGTTACCTCACCCGCGCGTTTGTAGGGTTCCCGAGCGCCTGATGTGCTTCTTTGACCCTCAAATATTACTAACAATAGCATAGATTATATTTG